AATGAACAGACGGGCTCTGCATTCCAAGTTTAGCACCGGGACCCCTCCCAGCTCACGCCCCTGAGAGATTCTTCCTTGACTCACATCTGTGTCTACTCCTGTCTTTCATAAGACCCCCAAGAAGATGACCTTGACAACTCATTTTTCTAAACTGATCAGTAGTAAGAGGGAAGCATATACAAAAGCTCCAAATGCAGGACGATGTGAAAGGCAAATCTCGTTTGTACTTGGACTTTAACTTAGCCAGCAAACATTCAGAGGGCACTTGCTGATTCCAGGCACCGTGCTGGTATGAGGAGGTTGAGAACTGAGCCCATGCCCTTCTTGGGGCTCATAGCCAGGGCACGGTTGACAGCAGGTGTCTGGCGTCCTGGGAACTCACAGAGAGCCTTTGGTGAAGCTCCATGTGGTTTTGCCCTGGGCAGAGCTCTCCAGCTACAACCCCAGCCCTGCTCCTGGGCTGCACTCATTCTTTGTTGCCAACCATCTTGGTCTTCAGAGCTGGCACTCTGCAGCCTTTCCTTTCAGACCCCTGCCTTACCTGAAAAGTAAGGCCTGGCTGCGACGGTCCATCCATTGGGGGGCTCTATGTGGCATACAGGGCACTTTATAAACATGATCTCTAATCTTCACAACCACTGTGGGGACTGCCACGATCAGCTGAGCGGATGATCACGGAAAGCCCGGCTTCTTTCTGTGATGGGCAGCAGCAGGTGTGGACAGGTGCCAGTGCAGCCCCAGCTCTGCTGCTGGGCACTTTGGGGCAGATGCTGGCTGCCGTGCCTTTCCCTCTCCAAGGTGGTTTCTGTAACCACCCATCCGTGGGCCTGAGGCTGGCCAGGCAGCCTTAGCCAGGCTCCTGCACCACCCTGACATGGAGCACCCGTGCCACTGGCTTGCTGCCTGAGCTGGGGGGTGGTCTCCCAGGGTCATGGGAGGCATGTGTCAGGAAGGGAAGGGGGAGGGGCACACCCAGTGCAGTTGTGCTCTCTCTAACATAGAGACCGCTGTGCCCCCCATCAGCCCATGGGGAGACAGGAGCTTCTTCAAGAGGTGGCGACAAGAGGAGGAATCTCCCTGAGAAGTGGGCTGAAGGCAGCAAAGGACACGGAGAAGGCACGGGTGAACACACCAACCCTCTCGCCTCTCCCTTTTCTCCTTTTCAGACCCTAAGGCTTGCTCTTCCCTCCTCTGAGCCAATCATAGCAGACTTCTTGAGACGGCACCACTTGGTGAGGTACATTTCTGGGTCAGGGAACCCTTCATCCTTTGACGTGGCCACCCCATGGTACCAGAGGATCTGAAGGCCCCCTAGACGTTGGGGAAGGAACAGCAGGACCACGGCATGGCTTAACTGAATTCCAGTCTCATGTCAGGTGGTGTGGCCATGGTGCACGTGAATGCACAGGTACACACGTGTCTGTGTGTGTGTGTGTGTGTGTGTGTATGCAAGGAAGAGTCAGAGCGAGAGAGAGAGAGAGAGAGAGAGAGAACATGGTGAGAGAGGAATCTCATCCCTCAGCAGAGTGTGTTACACCCAA